TTTAATTGCTTTTTCTGGTATGTATTAGCATGTTAAGAGTGAGTGGAAGCAAGTGACTTTAATGATTTGACGTGCTGTTGGAGTGTGAGCAAGGAACCCAGGGAAACCGGCTAGCCGGATTCTAGTTCTGGAGGTGGGAAGTGCAGTGCCTCTCCTCTGCAGGATGGATGAGGATGTTACAGTTCTGGAGGTGGGAAGTACAGTACCTGCACTCTGAAGGATGAGTGAGGATGTTACAGTCCTGGAGGTGAGAAGTACAGTACCTGCACTCTGAAGGATGAGTGAGGATGTTACAGTCCTTGAGGTAGGAAGTATAGTACCTGCACTCTGAAGGATGAGTAAGGATGTTACAGTCCTTGAAGTGGGAAGTACAGTACCTGCACTCTGAAGGATGAGTAAAGATTAACATTCGGGAGGTGGAATACAGTACACCCTCTAAAAGATAGTGAGGAGTACAGCCGGGAGGGGGGAAAGTACAGTCCCTGCCTCTGAAGGAGGGTGAGGATGTTACAGCCCAGGATGGGGAAGTACAGTACCTGCATCGGAAGATGGGGAAGATGTTAAGCCTGGGGGTGGAAGTACAGTACCTGACCTGAGGATGAGTGGGATGTTACAGCCTGGGGGTGGAAGAAGTACCGCACTCTGAAGGATGATGAGGATGTTCAGCCCTGGGGGTGAAAGCACAGGCCTGCACTCTAAAGGGGATGATGAGGATGTTACAGTCCTGGAGGTGGGAAGTACAGTACCTGCATCTAAGGGAGGGGGGGGAGGGGAGGATGTTACAGTATGAAGGGGGGAAGTACAGTACCTGCACTCTGAAGGGATGAGGAGGATGTGAAATCCTGGAGGTGGAATATAGTACCTGCACTCGAAGGAAGTGAGGATGTACAGTCCTGGGGGTGGGAAGTACAGTGCTCACTTGAAGGATGATGAGGATGTTACTCCTGGAGGGGGGAAGTACGTCCCCTGCACTCTGAAGGAATTGAGGATTTTTCGCCCGGGAGGGGGGAATACAGTCCCTGCCCTGAAGGAGATGGGATTTTTACGTCCGGGGGTGGGGAAGTACAGTCCCGCACTCTGAAGGTGAGGAGGATGTTACAGTCATGGAGGGGGGAAAGAAAACCTGCACTCTGAAGGATAGTGAGGATTTTACAGTCCTGGAGGGGAATTTACAGTCCCTCATCAAAGGATGATGAGGATTTTTACAGTCGTAGGGGGGAAGTACAGTACCTGCACCTAAAGGGATGATGAGGATTTTACAGTCCTGGGGGGGGAAGTACAGTCCCTCCCTCTGAAGGATGAGTGGGGATTTTAACCCTGGAGGTGGGAAAGTACAGTACCCACCGAAGGAGAGTGAGAGTTTACAGCCCTGGGGGTGGAATTACGTACCTGCACTCTGAAGGATGATTTGAGGATTTTACAGTCCTGGGGGGGAATTTCAGTACCTCACTCTAAGGGATGATGAGGATGTTACAGTCCTGGGGGTGGAAGTACGTACCTGCACTCTAAAGGGAAGTGAGGATGTTACAGTCCTGGAGGGGGGGAATACGTAAATGCACTCTGAAGGTGAGTGGGATTTTACATTTCGTGGTGGGAAGTACAGTACCTGCACTCTAAAGGATGATTAGGATTTACAGCCGGGGAGGGGGGGAAGTACAGTACCTGCACTCTAAAAGGATGAGTGAGGATTTTTAACCCCTGGAGGTGGGAAGAAAGGGACCGCCTCTAAAGGGTGAGTGAGGATGTTACTCCTGTAGGTGGAAGTCAGTACCCACCTCGAAGGGGGGTGGGATTTACAGTCCTGTAGGGGGAAGTCAGTACCCACACTCGAAGGATGGGGGGGGAGTTAAGCCCGTAGGGGGGAAGTACAGTACCCACACTCTGAAGGATGGGGGGGGATTTTACGCCCTTGGTGGAAGTAACAGTACCTGCACTCTGAAATGAGTGAGGATTTTTTCCCAGCCCTGGGGGTGGGAAATACATACCTGCATCTAAAAGGATGAGGGAATGTTACAGTCCTGGGGGGTGGAAGTACATACCTGCACTCTGAAGGATAGTGAGGATGTTACAGTCCTGTAGGGGGGAAGTACAGCCCCAACTCTGAAGGATGGGTGGGATGTTAAAAGTCCGTAGTGGGAAAAACATCCCCCCACACCTAAAGGATGGGGGGGGATGTTACAGCCCTGTATGGAAGTACATACCCACCTCAAGGAGGGTGGGGAGTTACAGTCCTGAGGTGGGATACTACCCACACTCTGAAGGATGGGGGGGGATGTTACAGCCGTAGGGGGGAAGAAAAAACCCACACTCTGGGGGATGAGTGAGGATTTACGTCCTGTGGGGTGGGAAAGTACAGTACCCACACTCTGAAGGATGGGTGGGGATTTACAGTTTAAAAAGGGGGATCGAACTGTGATTTTGGCGTCCTTCGGGTAAGAGAGGGATTAAAAAATAACATGAAAAGTTTTTTTTTTTTGGGTGGTTCCCTAGCTTGGGGGGAGGGGGCCTGTGTACCCCCAAATTGTACCCTTAATTGTGGATGCAGGGTCGAGACCACTCCTGGGCCCCCCTCTTTTATGATTGCTATAGGTCCTCTCTCCTCGCTTTTCCCGAGCTTTTTCAACCCCTTCTAAAATATGTATGGTTTTAAGAAGTGTGGTGTGTATGGTGTGTGTATATAATATATTTATATAATTTGGGGGTTGGTTGGTGGTGTGGTGTGTGTGTGTTGTTTTGGGGTTTTGTTGTGTGTGTGTGGTGTTTTGTTGTGTGTGTGCGTGTTGTGGTTGTTGGTGTGTTTGTGTGTGTGTGTATGTGTGTGTGTGTGTGTGGTGTGTGTGTGGTGTTGTTGTGGTGTGTGTGTGTGTGTGTGTGTGTGTTGTGTGTGTGGGTGTATACTCACCAGTTGTCTCACCTATTGAAGTTGCGGGGGTCGGTCCGAGCTCCTGCCCCGCCTCTTCATGATCGCACTAGGTCACTTCCCTGAGCCGTGAGCTTTATCATACCTCGCTTAAAGCTATTAGGACCGCCCCACACATCTTTTCCCCAAAATATTCCACTTCTGATACTCTGTGGCTGAAGAAATATTTAACATCCCCGGATTCTCTGTGTCTTTAACTTCCAACTGGTCCCCTTTTTTTACGTGCCAACTCTGGAACATCCCTTTTTTGTCCCCTTGTCAAATTTCCCCTCAGTATTTTTGTATGTCTTTCATGTCCCCCCCCTCTCCCTGTCTCCCGTTCGCAGGTTGATTTCCCTTAACCTCTCCTCGTAGGCATACCTCTTAGCCTGGGACTAGTCTTTTTGAAAAACCTTTTCACTTTTTTCTAGTTCTTTACGTGCTTTGGGTAGGTGTGGGTTCCAAAATGGTGCCGCATACTCCCTAGGGGGTAAGTACACGTGACAGGGGCTGAACGATTCCTTTTTAAGTGTCGGAATGCTGTTCTGAGGGGTTTTCAGGGCCCATATGGGCAGAATTTTTTGGTTTATTAGCTTCAGGGGAAAGGCCTGGGGTTATACCACCCCCCGAACTTTTCCTTGAGTGAGGTTTTAGTCTCTGGCCCCCTAGACTGTACTCCCTCTGCGGTTTTCTTTGCCCTTCCCCCTCTTTATCTTTGACTTTGGTGGGATGAACCCAGGAGCCAATTGCTGGACCAGGTCGCAGCCTGTCCAATCCCTTTGTAATTCTGCCTGGTCTTTGATCGAAAGAATTCTTCTCATAAAACTTCACGTATCTGAAAAACAGGGAACCTCAGAGTCTATTCCTTCCGTCATGTCGTTCACAAATACCAGAAACGCACTGGTCTAGGACTGACCTGTGGGACCCCGCTGGTCACAGGTGCCCACTCTGACACCTCGCACGTACCATGACTCGCTGCTGTCTTCCTGACAAGTATTCCCTGATCCATTGTAGTGCCTTCCCTGTTATCCCTGCTTGGTCCTCCAGTTTTTGCACCAATCTCTTGTGTGGAACTGTGTCAAACGCCTTCTTGCAGTCCAAGATATGCAATCCACCCAACCCCTCTCTCTCTTGTCTTACTGCTGTCACCATGTCATAGAACTCCAGTAGGTTTGTGACACAGGATTTCCCGTCCCTGAAACCATGTTGGCTGCTGTTGATGAGATCATTCCTTTCTAGTGTTCCACCACTCTTCTCCTGATAATCTTCTCCATGATTTTGCATTACTATACATGTCAGTGACACTGGTCTGTAGTTTAATGCTTCATGTCTGTCTCCTTTTTAAAGATTGGGACTACATTTGCTGTCTTCCATGCCTCAGGCAATCTCCTGTTTCGATAGATGTATTGAATATTGTTGTTAGGGGTACACATAGCGCCTCTGCTCCCTCTCTCAATACCCATGGGGAGATGTTATCTATCCCCATTGCCTTTGAGGTATCTAGCTCACTCAGAAGCCTCTTCACCTCTTCCTCGGTTGTGTGCACTGTGTCCAGCACATGGTGGTGTGCCCCACCTCTCCGTCTTTCTGGAGCCCCTTCTGTCTCCTCTGTGAACACTTCTTTGAATCTCTTGTTGAGTTCCTCACATACTTCACGGTCATTTCTTGTTGTCTCTCCTCCTTCCTTCCTTAGCCTGTGTGTGTGTGTGTGTGTGTGTGTGTGTGTGTGTGTGTGTGTGTGTGTGTGTGTGTGTGTGTGTGTGTGTGTGTGTGTGTGTGTGTGTGTGTGTGTGTGTGTGTGTGTGTGTGTGTGTGTGTGTATGTGCGTGTGTGTGTGTGTGCGTGTGTGTGTGTGTGTGCGTGTGTTTGTGCGTGCGTGTGCGTGAGTATACATAAATCACTTGACTTATGGAATCCAATCCACTATTTTGCTATACAGAAACGACCTGTATTCTGTGGCATGGCAGATATATGAATATTCCAGCAGGATCTGTGAAATATTAGGAGGCCAGGGCCATGTTAACTGATGGGTGGCCATGCTATGACGTCACTGGTCTGCTAGTGGATGTATGTACCCGAGTGAATGTGTATATACATCACAGTCCTGAGTACCTGCACCAGTTACGCTTGTTGAGTGTTGAAGCAGAGTGGTGGAGCAGCAGCACTGGTGGTGAGTCTTGCTGGCTAATGTTCATTAGAAATGTATATTGTGCAGCATGACCAGGTAATTGATCAACATTATATATATATTATATATTTATATATATATATATATATATATATATATATAATATATATATATATATAATATATATATATATATATATATATATATATAT